AGGTGTCTTGTCAAAGACACATCTTCACAGTACACAAAAGGATTAATACATAATATGAAAGTGCTACTAAAATGGCTCTGGGTATTGGTCTGGCTGATGCTCATCTGAAACCCAGAAAGGAAAGTTGGGTAAAATCAACTATTGGCTGAAATTCATCTAGCATCAGAAAGATGGTATGTTCAACCTTATTAGTGCTGGATATAGGTGTAGGAATAAATAAGGAGAAGGTGGGAGTGGGCAGTCATAATCAGTATTCAAAGAGCAGAGAACACAACCTGTCTTTATCTGAAGATAATTTTTCTAGATCCCTTGTTGCTGGACAAGATTATTTCCCTGGCTTTAAAAGCCCACTGGTGAGACAACATAAGGATTTCTAAGAGGAGAAAGCAAATTTTGTATGTGTATGTGCACATTAGGTAGGACTCTTTATCTGCATTGGAGAATGGATTTGAACATATTTCAACGGATACTTTCCTATGATATCTAGCAGAACATAAATGTAAGAAAATAGTGTGGTCTCTTTAATTCTTAATTTCAGCAATCCTGGGAAAAGAATAACAGTCAATAACATGCATTCAGTGAGTGGAGCAGTTTGGTGGGGTATGGGTGGTGGCCAAAGTATACTCAACACAGAATGTCTCTGTCATTATGTTTGTGGAAACAGAAAGGCTTGAACATTCTTATTTGAAGCAGAGTCTATGGAAACAGAGCAAAAGTAAGACACTAAAAGAAATGCTTAGAGAGGTCCTTGGGAGTGTGTGGTGCCCACGCCACAAGCAACTCCGAGGTATCAGGAAAAGAAAGACAAGAGGTCCACTTGTTTGTACTAAGAGAATGCATGTGTTGCCTTTATTGCCAGGAGAGTGTGTGTGTGTGTGTGTGTGTGTGTGTGTGTGTGTGTCTTCATTGCAAGTGCTAAGAGGACTCTCTCTTGTAGGAGGGAGGAGCTTTATATACAGGCTTACGGCACAGTGGAAAACCCCAGGTAGAAGAGAGCCTGTTTTCCTCCTGCTGAATGTTGATGTCAGAGGGTCAAGGCCAGGGCAGTAAGCCAGGACTAGAAAACAGGAAGCACTTGGACTGGAAAATAAGTTGCACTTGTAGGCTGACCAGCAACTCACAGAGACCCCGTGGGGCTGGGGCCCAACAGGAGTGAGTGGGTTTTGAAGAGGTTCTGCCTTGGCTTTGATTACGCTACAGAACTCTCTCTCTCTCTCTCTCTCTCTCTCTCTCTCTCTCTCTCTCTCTCTCTCTCTCTCTCTCTCTCTCTCTCTCTCTCTGTCTCTTAATTGTCAGTTGGTCCAAATAAAAATTTAAGTACTACTCAGATCATTCACAGGGAATTAGTTCCAGGAACCTCAGAAATGCCCAGATCAACAGATCCTCAAGTTCCTTATATAAAACGGCATAGGCTTGTGTATAACACCTACCCTCCTGTTGATTAGAAATCATCTTTATTATTTATAATTTCTAAAGCAATGTAAATGCTATGAGAATCAATGTAAAATAGCTTTAGGTGTTCTGTACATATTTAGTTTTTTTGTTGTTGTTTCATTTCTTTTTTTGGAATATTCTCTGAGTTTGGTTGAATCTACAGGTGCAGATCCTGAGCTGTACTACATGGGAGTCTGATAGTGTTTTTCTGAGGGCACAGGCATGACTTTATTTCCTGTGTAACTTCCCCATGTCCTCTGAACTTTCTTCTTTTTTTGTTATCTTTAAGATGTGTACTATTTGAAGGGTTGCAGCCTGAGTGATCATAATCAAATCAGGATTTTTCAATTAAAGGTTCCTTTTTCTGTGATAATAATGGCACAAATGACAGCTGAGATTTCCTGCTGGTCACATTCCAGCCTTGCTAGAGCAATTAATGACAGGGCACAGCAGAAACACAATAAAATAAAAAAGAAGCCTTGTGGTGGTTAAATTTTATTTTCATTGTAAACTACTGTGTAATCAAGGTCCAAATTATTAAACTAGCAGAATGGTGTTTATTCCTTTAATTCATTTTATAGCATCAGTAATATGCTGTGTTGTGTTCATATCTGTGGAGTCAGCTGTATTATTTGTGTTATTTACAAAAAGCATTTATGATGACTTTAAAGGTGTTAATGATCAGGCTATCCCCTTTCAATATACGTTCTTAATTTTTACCAATTGGACAAGAGAATCAAAGTATACAACAAAAAGGATGTTCATCAAGATTAAGATTTTCATAGTTTGAAGCTGTAAAAGCACCACTAATGGAATATTTTTGGACAATATATAATATTAATTCAAAGTGAGCTTGAAATAGGACTAAGTGAAGAAAGCACACAAAATCAGATTCCATATTTTTGTTAGAAAACAAATCTTTAAAAATAACAAAAGAACAGAAAAGAAAAGGGGGATAGTTGAAGGAGAGGAGGAGGAGAATACAAAGATGTATTCAGCAATAGTGACCGAAATGGATAGCTCACATACACGTTTTATCTTTTTAATTGCATGTGTAAACATATTATGCTTATATTTAGAAAAGTATTGTTTTAAAATTCTAGTGTGTTTACTGACTTTTGTGACATGGATATGAAGTGTTTCCTGAAAATCCAGGCAGTAAATGTTTGGTTTGTCCCTCACCTGGTGCCTTGGGTTGTCCTGGGACCTTTTAGAACTGGAATTTGATTACAGGGATAGGTCAGTTCAGGCATTGCTAGGAGTCTTAGTTAGGGGCCTCCTTGTGGATTCTTGGGAGTTAGCCTAGCACTAGGTTTCTTCCTAAGCCCATAGTGACTCTCTCTAGTAAGATGTCTTTTTCATTGCTCTTCCACTGCATCCTTCCCTGCCTAAACTATCTCCTCTGTTCTTATCCTCCCTCCCCTCCCCCTTATGACACCCCTACTCCCAGTTTGCCCTGTAGATATCATCTAATTTCTCTTCCCAGGGTGATCCATGTGTCCCTCTTAGGGTTCTCCTTGTTACCTAGCTTCTCAGGAGCTGTGGACTTTAGTCTGATTATCCTGTGCTTTATATCAAACATTCACTTTGAGTGAATACATATTGTGTTTGACTTTTTGAGACTGTGTTACCTCACTCAGGATGTTGTTTTTTTTTTCTACTTCCATCCTGATAATTTCATGAGGTCATCATTTGTTACCAATGAGTAGTACTCCATTGTGTAAATGTACCATATTTTCCTTATCCATTCTTCTGATGAGGGGCATCTATGTTGTTTCCAGGTTCTGGCTATTACAAATAATGCTACTATGGACATTGTTGAACAAATGTCCTTGTGGTATGATTGAACACTCTTTGGGTAAATGTCCAAGGGTAGTGTTGCTGGGTATTGAGATAGATTCCCAATTTTCTTAGAAACTAACCTAACGATTTCCAAAATGAATGTACAAGGATGGAACCCAATGCAGAGGTCCACAACCAAGAACCTGACTGAGCTCTGGGAATCTAGGCAAAGAGAGGGAGAAGGGAACATATGAGCAAGGGAGGCCAAGATCACAAATGAGAAATCTATAGAGACAGCTGAACCAAGCTCATGGAAACTCATGAACTCTAGACTTACAACTGTGGAGACTCTAGAGGTCCGAACCAGGCCCTCCATATGTGGGAGAGAGTTGTGAAGTTTGGACTATGGGGCTTTGGCAGTAGAACCATTATACAAACATGTTACATGAGCTAGCTTGTTGGAGCTCATTCCATATGGTGAGATGCCATGCTCAGCCTTAATGCATGGGAGAGGGACCAGGCCCCAACATATTGTGCCAGACTATGTTGACTCCTCATGAGAGCCCTTACCAGTAAGGAGGAGAGGACTGGGGGTATGCTAGTGGGGAGGGTGGGAGGAGGTGTGGAAGGAGAACTGAGGATGGAATGTAAAATGAAATAAAAAATAAAAAATGAAAAAAAGAATTCGAATTTAATGAGAGGTATTAGGGAATTGGGTGTGACATTAGAGAGAGCATTGGAACCTTGGCCCCTTCTTCCTATCTTTTGCCTTTTGATCATGAAGTGGTTTTGTTTCACCCCCACTGAGGAAAATGGATGGAGAAAGCAATACCCAGAGACTAGGGGAAGAATGTTGTACTGAGTATGTGACACCCACCACATACTGCCAATTGTGCTACCGCCTATGAACTGACAAAGGCTGTCTTTGAACTGATGAATGGATTGCTGAGGAATAGGAAAGATAGTTCATTTTGTTCAGAAACATAGGGTAGGGGCAAGTTTTCTAAATGATGTTGTTCAGTTTTTACAAATGACAAACTTACATTTTATCTTGAAGACAGTCAATGCAAGTTTAGCAAGTAATTAAACAAAAGAGATTTTAAAAATTCAATATTTATATGTCAATTGCAATTGGTTCTATTTCAGGGGATAACAGTTTGATTCCCAACACCTGTATGGCACTTATCAAATATCTGTGTCTCTAATTCTAGGGAATCTGATAAGCTCTCTCTGGCTTATGAGGACACCTGGCTCACAAGTTTGCACAGACATACATGCAGGCAAAATACATGTACAGAAAAATAAGTTAAAAAGAAAGGTGTCAATTTAATGAACCAAGAAACTTATCTTTGTGAGAATATGCATTATTTTCTGACAACACTGGAGACTTTTTTTTATTGTCACTATCTTTTTAAAAAGGAAGTGGATAGGCACAGCAACAGTATTAGCCCGAAGAGTATTTGATATGGTAGTCTTGGGCATGGGGCAGGGTCGAATTCGAAACCTAGACTTCTTATATATAAGATCTCCGAGGTGCTTTGCTCTTCTCTATTAATGGGGGTAACAGTAGGGATTGCTGAGAGGACAAAATGAGATAATTCATAATTTTACTATAAAACAGATCCTGGAATAGAAAGCGCTTAATAGATGACACAATAACAACAGAACGTACACCAACAACAAAATAACACACACACATATATTGCATTCTCTTAAATAGAACTTTGGATAAAGAATCGGACCGGTGTGGGGGAAAACTACATTTCCCAGAAGGCTGTGGCCAGGGGCTATTTTCTCTTAGTTCCGGGTATGTCATGTGACTCTCAGACTGCACTATGGCGGAAGCAGAGGAGCAGGTAAATGCTGGCAGAGCTAGTTTGGGGCAGGCGGGACATGAAGACCGGAGTGAGAGGTTTTGGGGCGCGGAGGGCCGGGGCGAGGCGGTCCTGACCGGGCTAGTTGGGGCGGCCCCTCCCCTCGGGGATAGCGCTGTGCATACCCCCACCGTCCGTGCCGGCCTAGTCTCGGCTCAGCCCTTTTGGTATATTAAGTGGAATTTTTCAAAGAAGGCAAGTCAAGAGTGAGCTATGCAAGGCTTAAGAGATTATCCCTGTTGCTGGCAAGACTTAGATGGCAACGTCCAGCCTGCAGCTGAGAAGGTGGCACCGAGGTCTTAAGTAGAAATTACTGACATTTTCATACAGACGTTCTGATAACCACACATTAGGGCAAAGAGCAAAATGAATGAAACTGACAAAATAAAAGACTAAGGCCAGACCTTGGAAGAGACCCCCTTAAGTGTACGTTTCTAGTGTCACTTAAGTTTGACATATATATTTTCCCCTCTTACATTAAATGGCCTGTCTGCAAGTTTCTGAGATGTCCTTAGGAAGTGATAGGGTGATGAACTGTTTACTGTCATATGAGACATTGACTTGTAGACCATTGACACCCGTGATAGTTTTTTTTTTTTTTTTTTTTTTTTTTGGTATTTACGAGACAGGGTTTCTCTGTATTGTTTTGGAGGCTGTCGGTCTAGCCTAGCCTCGAACTCACAGAGATCGGCCTGCCTCTGCCTCCCGAGTGCTGGGATTAAAAGCGAGCACCACCACCGCCCAGCAGACACCCATGATAGTTTTATGTGTGCCAGAAGTTAAGGAAGTTGACTAGGAAGAATATGGGTTTGGACATTGTGTTAGCAAGAGGCTCGTACCCATCATTTGTTCCTCACTCGTGCAAACTGTCTTTTGCACTGCAAGTCTGAGAGAAGCAGAGCTCGCCTTCACAGCTGGCCCTTCTCAGTTTGACTGCTGCGAGGTGTTGAGCATTTCCATTTCGGCTGAAACACAGTTGTGGTTTTGTAGAAAAACAAGTCCAAGTTCGCTAAATTCTTAGTTTAGACCCAGTGTGATAGAACGGAGTCCCTCTTTTAATCCCACTCATGCAGAAGAGTTTGACAAAGATGTCTGATGTTAATTAGAAAATCAGGCAGGGAATCAGATATTTCACATTTGCACAGTGCTTTCAAGCTTAAAAAGACCCTTTTACATGACATATGGACTTTCAAAAAGAATTGTGTGAGATAAATATTTACTATGATAGAGAAGTCATATAAAGCCTCCATGTCTCAAACCCTCTCATCCCAAACTGTGGTACCATCGGTGCCCATATGGGAATTACTCAACAGGGCTTCTGCAGCCGCCGTTTCCCCCACTCTCTGAATGCATTTCCCACCGTGATCTTCTCCTGCCTCACATTGCTTTCTTGTTCTGTAAATAAGCCCGGCGTGTTTCCTCCCTAGAACCTGTGCTCACACTGGCCCTTTCCAGGACTTTTGCTATCCACAGGGCTTTCTCCTTTATTTTCCTCATGCCTCTGTGGAATTCGGCTTTCTGATTGAGACTTCTGCTCATTCTTCGAAACCACCTTCTGATATTTTCTGCATAATACTTATGTCTTAGGATTTTTATTTTACTTGTGTATTTTCACTATTTCGACCCACATGGTAGGAATTTATTCATGACTGATGACCGAATATTGGGGTATTGCTCAATACTTAAAATATTAAATTATTGGATTTCACAGATAAGTGGATTGAAATTCAGTCAATTTGAAATTTCTCATGCTTATGTCTATAATTTTTTTAGTCTCATGTCTCCAAAATTCATATTTTTTCAGTAGACCACTTTGCTTTTTAAAGTATGCTAAAGAACCTGATTTTCATATGTGAATATGTATTTTTCATATAAGTAAATATAAGTATATATATATATGAATTTTATGAAGTGGAATTAGCTCTTATCATCTTGATGATTTATCTTTTAGCCCTTATCCTCCTGTGGTGCTTAATAGCTAATGTACTTTTGGAAAGAGCATTCCTTCCCAATTGGTGTCAATGTGGCCTTAAATAAGGCAAGTAGTCTATTGTCTGTTGCAGAAAGAAGCAAACATCCATAAACTGTTTTGAGAATTCATAATAATTACGATTCTTTCAAAGAAAATAAATAATTGTATTCATATTATTAGTTCTTTGAAGATTAAACAGGAGTAGGTTTTTCTTATTTTTTGGATTAGTGCATTTTTCACTTACAGTAAGAAGCTGTTCAAATCTGACAGTAGGCCTTTGTTAAACAGTTCTTTGATGACAAAGGACACAAAGATCAAGCAATTAAATACGCTCATATTTTGCTTCCTTGAATATTTTTGGAAATCAAGACATCTTTTTTTTCATTCTCCTGAGTACTTTAGGTGTTGGCATGTGTATTAAATGAACTACCATGACAAATTACAGAGGGAGGCAAAGCATTTTCTTGATACCCTGTTCTATAAATGCAAACATCCTTCTAAGATGAATAGCACAAGATTAAGCCCATTGGCTTATCTTTCCTGAATGTTATATTCTTTGATCATTGTTTCCCCTTTAATTTTATGAATAGCCAAAATGTTGACATCTGTACTGAGTTAACATACTGTAAAAAAAAAAATCACAGTTTAAAGCTAAAATCACTGCTTGAGTATGGGTAAACAGATGTCTTTAAATCATAATGGAAGCCTTGATTTTGCTGAATATAGAAAGTACTTTGTAAAAGTAACATTTGTGTTTTATAGTTCATAGAAAGCTAATAGCCATGGTTCTGCCTGGAATTCTTGTAACCAGCAGTTTTGCTTAGTTCTGGAACGATTTATAGATGGCTTTCATAGTCACAGATGCCCAAAAGTGTTTGTTCCGACCTCTCATGAATAACACTCTGCTTGAAGTCTGGTTGGTGTATTTGTCTCCTAAGGATTGCTGAGTCCTCAGAACGAGGACTATAGCTTACTCATGTCTGTATCTCCCCAAGAGCTACTAGTTTCCAAACTCTAAGTGCTGAAATGAATCTAGTAGGAGAAGCACACTTACAGTTGTCACATTGTGAATTCTGTTTAGTATAGTTTGTGTGAAATCAGTGTATCGTTTAAAATATTGGGATGCTACTAATTCAGGTATAATATGGAACATATTCTCCACATTTCTTCCTCTTAGCCTTCGAGTACTTTCATCCTCCCCACTCAGTCACAAAATTAATCATCTGGTTTTTTGTTTGTTTGTTTGTTTTTGCTGTAGGAGAGAGTTTTTATTTTGATTTCCCTTACTATATCTTAGAAATTAGTATCAGATGGTACAGTCTATATTTATCTCCATACATATAAAATAAATATCAGGTTTCTATATACTCCAGTGTCTCCATTTTCTTGCCTATTAATTTATTCTCTAAGACGTTTTATGAAATAAATCTACTAAAGTGGTTAGTGTGAAATAGTTAACTTATAAATAAGACAAACATTAATTGTCCAGATCCAGGCTTGACTAGGGCAACCAAGGTTGGGCTGTTAAGGAAAGTGAATGTTTAGAAATAGCCAGTGCTTTTTACATTTAAATCTCAGGTTGGTACCATGAACTTAGGGCCATGACAGTGAAGCTCATTTGAAGTAGTAGGACACCTTTCCCACTCTGTTCCAAAGATACTACTTGAAGCTGGAAAACCATAACGATCCTTGTGGAATTGAGCTAGCACTAAGTGGAGGGAATATTGTAAGGAAAATCTCATTGGTGGTCACAGTCTCAAGGCAGGTGTCCATGACCTAAGTGAGACTGGACGTGGTGTTGGGGGTAAAATGCCCTCCATCCTGGCAGCGCGGCTTATCTCCAACTGCAGTTAGGCAGAAATACTGGTACTATGTAGATTTAATGTGATCTTTGTGAAGTTGAAAATGCAGACTTTTATAGGGATGTTTCTGAACATCATCATCTAAGTTAAACAACACATTGTAGGTCACACCTAAATCCCACCTGTCACTTTGCTGCTTCTAGCATGGAGATGTGAGCATGTGATTCTCAACTTAGCATGGTTAGAGGGGTATAGATTTGTAGAGGTGCTGGAGAGAAAGACTAGAAGTCTTCTTGGTGTCAGAAATTACTTTTGCCTTCCTTGTTGGGGAGTCTGATCTGGTCTAGTCTCAGACTGGGAGAACCCTGATGGTTTGGAGGATGACAGTATCAGTCTGATCCGTGCTTTGGGCAGCAAATGGATATTTCAGGGCCTACACAAATTATAGGTAAAGTTCTTCAGAAAGATGATTGGAGTTCTAGCGATTGCTTTGGGAAAGAAAGGTAAAGTACTGAATTTATTGGTAACTTGCTGCCTAGAGTTTGAGTAGCTAAACATTTTGCCAGTGGACATCTTCAAGCACAACACCTTTGCTTCAGCCAAAACAGCATAGAGTTGTTAGTTGAACATGAAGTTCCCCAGTTCACTCATTTTTAAGTATGTAATGCAGTTGGATTAAGTACAAGCAAGTTGCTGTGCAGCCATCACCACCGTACACACTGAACCTTTACCTACTAATAGCGCCCCATCCCCACATTGCTCTGATAATCTCTATTTTACTTCGTCTTATATACATAAAATCATACATTATTTATGAGGTGATTTGGTGAATTTGACTTATAGTACATAGAGAACAACAGGTTTAGCTTATGTTTCCTTGACTCAAATATGAGATTTCTTGAGGCTAAAAATGTTGACAACCACGCTGTCTTTAATGGTAACCTCTCTCATGGTTCAGTCTTGTTTCTTGGGTTTCCATTTTTGTGTCTTTTTGCTTACTTCTTTGTCTCTGGAGCATTAAGAAGAAGGATTGATCAAAAAAATGGAACTAAGAAACCATACCGTGCTGACGTCTAAGGTCTATCATGCATTGCTTTCATAACATGAATGGGTGTGTTGATGTGTTGAGGCCATATCTGTGTTCAGGTAGTCTGTGCTAATGCTGATGGTAGGTCTTACAGAGTTCTGAAACACATGTTTTCAGCTGTTGCCAACCACTTAAACTCTCAGGTTCTGACACTGCATTCTTTCTGATGTGGAAGAAGTATGAAATTGGGTTTTGAGATTCTGGGTCAGCTCTATTGGTTGATGATTTATGTTGTTTTAATAAGGCACATGAGTGGACACTACCCCGTTTACCAAGTATGTATATTTGAGTGGATTCCACATTAAAAAGTATTCTTAGGGTTAATGTAATTTTTCTGGAAGAGTAGCCAAGTATGTTTTTAGCACTCTAGATAAACGGAATCTAGACACAGGTTTTTAGCATGGGTGTCACGACATTGCTTTGCTAGTGCTATTTAATACTTAAGAAACTCAGGGATAGAGATATTTTAGAAGCCATTAAATTCAGTCTCTATACCTCATTATTCTGGACTAAGGGGTTAGAAATGCTCAAATGCTGTATTATAAACAGAGCATTATGGCATTTAGCATTATGAGTGGGGTATGATAGATGGTCATTAACAAAGTCAGACCAGTAACTATAAAAATACATAAAAAATAAATTTCTACTGTGTGTTTAATGTGTACATCATGATGCTATGAGATGCATATATGTGTGGATAAAGTGGTTACTGTAGTGAAAAATGAAGTTACTCATCCTTTCTCAGAATTGTCCATTTTCTATAATCTGCTCTCTGGCAAAAATCCATACAATTCATTGAATATACCCTTAACTACTATGGCCCTTATTTTGTACCTGAGCAGAACACTTACTCCTACATATCTGCTGTTTTGTGTGCCATGACCTGTATTAACCCATTTTCATACACCCCCGTGTAGTAGCTACTGCTTTACTATGTTTGCCTATTTGACAACGCCCCTCCCCGTTTCTATTGCACATAGAAGGAAATAATGCAACAGACCCTTCACAGCTCTCCTCATCCCATCTTTCTGGTGAAAGCTATCCTACAGTTATCTGAAATGATAGAGTGGCTTTGATTAGCATTTCTGAGAATGGAGAGGCCGAGCACCTTTTAATGTACCAATTGTCCATTTTTTAACGTCTTCTTTGGAGAAATGTTTATTTAGGACCTGTTTTTAATTAGCTTCATTGTTTTCTTGCTGTTGAGTTGTGTGCATTTTTTTGCAGGTTTGGGAGGTTAGCCCTTTGTGAAATTTATGGCTGACAGATTTGTTTCCCAGCCTATAGGCTGTCTTTATATATTATCTGCTTTGCTATGAAGTAGGTTTTTAGTTTGCTGCAGTCTTATTTACTTATTTATTTTTACATGTATACCCTTCGTTTTTTGTGAGATAACCAAGAAATCAATGCCAAGTTTAATGCTAAGTAAGGTTTCTATATGGAGTTTCAGGATATTATAGCTTAACTTTGGGCACTTTGTCCATTTTGAGTTGTTTTCATTTTTTTAAATTCAGAGACCTAGTTCTTTCAGCATCATTATAAACGATGAGTCCTTTCCTGTTGTGTTTTCTTAGGACACTTGTGGAAATTAGTTAGTGCTGCTTGCTTGGATTATTTTTGGCCTCTATATTCTGTTGGAATAGATAGATCAAGTTGGTAGGAAGGCTAAAACCAGGAACTGGGTGGCTAGTACAGAGGAGAAATGGTTTAGAAGGGTAGGTGGAATACATGCCATTAACTGTCTGAACAAAGTTGGATTTCTTTTTCTTTTCCTCCCTCCCTCCCTCCTTCCCTCCCTCCCTCCCTCCTTCCCTTCCTTCCTTCCTTCCTTCCTTCCTTCATCCCTCCCTTCCTTCCTTTCTTTTTGTGGCTTGCAGATGTAAGATCATCCAATTGTTTTGGAGAATTGCAGCTTTAAACTAATGAGAGTTCTAGAGTCATATTAAATCAAACAAACTGCACAGGCAAGCAGAAGAGATTCTCTGGTTTGTCCCTGTTAATGACACACATATAGTAAAATTCTTAATTGCATGTAATTCACATGGTCTTCACGAACAGGGGCTACATTTTCCTTAAGACTTAAACTTCCTCTAGAAGTTACGTTCTCTTTCCAAGCTTTTATTGTTTTTTTTTGTCATATAAAATAAAGCTGGTTTTGAGCATCAGATTTACGTTCATCCCTCTATCTGTCTTGAATTGAGTATAAAGTGCATCCGACTTTGTATAAAATGTTCTTTTTTCCTTAGAACTATGTTATATCTAATGTTCTTACTCCACTTCTTTTGATGTTCTCTTTGTTTACCTCATGGATTGTAAAATGCTTACATTCGGTGTCAGCATATTAGCTGTAACTTTTTATTGCTATTGATATCTATAAGTACGTTAAGTAAATCTTCATTTTGCTGACCTCTTTGAGGATGCATGGCATCAGCAGATTCTCTTTCAGTGGACAGGTGAGAGATTAGCAGGACCAAGTCCTTTTTTTCCCTTTTTGCTTTGTTTCCTCCAGAGCAGCAAGATTCATTGTGCAGCAGGAAGGGAACTGCATTAAGTAGAGGAATTTGTCTTATAGTTACTGGTTTATTAAAGGGCTGATACCACATTTTATGAGTAAAACAGACCTGGTGTCACATGCCTGTAATCTCGGCACATAGGATATAAAGGAAGGAGGATCAGAAGTTCAAGGTAGTCAAGTTTCATAATGTTCAAGGTCAGCCTGGAATATGAGAACCTGTCTCCAATAAACAAACCCAAACCAGCCACCCCCCACTAATTTTTTCCCTAAAATTTTTAACAAGACAGTAATTTTGGCACATTAAGGTAAGAGATTTCAGTATTAAAAACTGGCTCATTTGATATGGTGGTTTCTTGTTCCCTTGTGGTATCAGTGATGTTTTGCCAGATGAATTTCCATTAGCTTAGTGTTCAGATCTCTCTCACATATCAAGTTCCTGGGGTAATTTGTTCAGGGTTTGAGGGAGGAAAACAGAAGCTTGGAGCTCCATAATCAACCCCCCAACCCTCACTCCCCCCGGCCAGCCATGGTGTGTAGTTGTAAAAGAGGTGTGAGAGTTGAACAGGTGGAATCATCTAAAATGCCATTGCACATGACTTCCAGAAAAGCGGGTGGGTACAGTGATTCTTTCCCATGGCAAATGTTCTTCTGACCCCCTCTCTTCTCTGTGTTTGCAGGAAACTGGGTCTCTTGAAGAGTCTACAGATGAATCAGAGGTAAGATGGAGTTGCACATTTGTCGCTCACCTTGATGCTGTCTTGAGTTTGTTGTCAAAGGAGTCTGGCATTCCCAGGGGCTGAAAGATTAGAAAAGGGCCTGGAAGAACAGGGCTGTAAAATAGATACTTAAAGAGTAGAATGCTGGTTGTCTTTAAAACATTGCATGGATTAGCTTAAGCATATATAGAGAACCAGACAGGAATGTTTCTCTTCATCTTTTGAGACAAAGGCAGTAATAACCTTGGATCTTTATCTGTTGTCTTGAATGGTGTTTTCATCTGCCGCTATGCATGCTGGAAGACTGACATAAAGTTTTAGAAACTAATGCCCACTTACTAAAGCCTGCTTGTTTTCACAGTTTTTACATTGTAGTTCTACAATATATATATTTTCTCTTGTGGTTTTGAAGATTCTGCCCAGCTCCTCACATTTGCTAGACAGGTGCCGCACTGCTGAGCTGTCCCCCCAGTCCTGATGGTTATTCAGTTTCTTTTTCCATGAACATGAATGATCATGTACCCTGTGCTCACTGTACCTATCTATATTTCCTGAGTCAATGAAATTGTAGCTCATTTCTTTAAAAAGGAAACTACGAGGGAGTTCTGTGAAAAATTATTACTCAAGGGAAATAAAATTGTTCTTTTAAAAATTGTCATTGCTTTGAAAAACTTTTCAAAACTATGAATAAGAAACAGGCTGAACATAATACAAATTAAGTAGGTAACAAATTGTGTGAATAATCTAATGGATAATATGTTTCATTTTAATATTTCATTTAGGGAAGGCAAATGAAAGTATATCTCGCTAACCTGTAAGAAATTTCTGCCAGTGTGACTGTATCTGATAATCTCTTTATCTCTTGTTGATATATATTGCATATTATTATATGGATTTTGCTTCTCCTGTGAAATGGTAGGTTTATACATACTTCTCCAGACAGAATCATATAGATTATGACATTTTCTGGTCATGGCTCTTAACATTTCACTATAGGATTCTTAGTAGCATGAGACCCCAGTTGCCTCTTTCCTGAATTTTCTTATAAATAGGAAGTGATGTCTGTTATTGTCTGATAGTGTATGGAATAATAGTTCAGATTACCACTGTTATGCTTGGAAATCTTAGGTAAGAACCCTGAATTCCCAAATCATTGGTTCATAATTAGGCAGCACTCAAGCCCTATCCTAGAATTTTATGTCACACATGAAGAGGATGTCAACAGCCGCTGAGATCGGAATCTTCTCAGATGTCCTCTAGATGCTAAATAGAGTAGCAGGGAAAGTAAGCAAAGAGAGAGCCAGCCCTCGAGGATAACCAGAAAGCAGGGGATAATACGCATTTTTGAATGTGACCGGGGTAATAAATAGTTAGGAAACCAGAAGATTCAGCTCTGGATTGATGTTAGAGCTGAGAGATGCAAGGGGACTGAGCAATTGAGTAGACGACACCCGAAAGTCACCCTTAGTGAGTTTTAGCCTTTGTGTACGTAGGAAAATGTTAACAAGGGATATAGTAGATACCAAGGGATCTCAAGGATGGTGTTTAAAAGATGAGGACCAGAGGTGACAGTGCTGGATGGTGCTGCTCCTGAGCAAGGAAGGGAGTGGCATTCTTTGTAAGTTTGGTGCTGAAGGGAAGCTTCAAAGTGAAATTCAAAGAGTATTTGAGTACTCATGGTATGATTGGGAGACTTGACTTCCTCCTGTGACAAAGGAGGAAGCACACTGCTGTCCATCCACATACCTCAGAATTCTAGTAATCCCCTCAGGCCCTCCAGCTCCTCCTTAGGAGCCTCTGCCATTGCTGTTTAAGCATAAACTGGAGGCAGCATGCGTCCATAGCGCCCATAGATTGAAGCAGCAAGTGAGCATCCAGAACTTGGCAGCAGAGCTCTGTAGCATGATTCTATCATTAGTTGAACAGGTCAACTTCCTTAATGATCAACTGCCTTAAACTGGAAATGCAAAACTCAAGAGTAGAGATGGAGGACTGGGGTGTGGTGGTGGTGGCAGAGTGGGGAATGAGAGCTGGCTGAAATAATCAAAACCCAAGGGGTAGCACATGACCTATGACTGGGAGTAATGGCTTCCAACCCCAGCTTGCCTTCTAGCACTGGTCCTTTCTGGGATGTTGCTCAGAAAATGATCCGGTCCTTGGGTTTGTAGCTTGTCTATACCTCATACTTCTTCTATGACCTGGGAGTGATGTTCACCTCTTTTCCTTCTCAGTTTCTCATGTGACAATGGGTCTATAGTGTATTTGCTTTATATGGTTGCTGTTAGGGTTAGAAAACATTGATGTTTGTTAATATCTCTTTTGTGAACTTCCCATCAGTATTTAGTGACTTTCAACTTATACTTGAGTTGAGAGGCTGGAGACACTTTCTACTAGGTCTTTTGTAAGAGTGATTTACCTCCCAGTTACTGGTTGAAGCAAGATTGTGGACCAGCAAAGTCATATCTATTAATGGGCAAGCTCAGGTTTCAGGCCACGGTTCAACCTTGGGAACAATTTCATGGGTTTTTGTACTCAGTTTGAATACTGTTGTTTCCAGGAATAGTGTTTTAAGACATCACTGAATAGGCCAAAGAACCTTTCTTCATCACTTTATCCTTTCTCCTTATCTCTTATTCCTGTCAGGTTTTGTCACCCTTGAGCTTTGGAAGATAGGCATTTATACTTTCATTTCTGTATTCAAGGGTTCAAAACTTCCATTTTTGTAAGTAGTGTTTTCAACAATGTATTGTAACAAGTTGCCTGAAATTTCTATCATTTCCTGAAATTCACATTAAATGGGTTCTTAAGTTAAATCGGGAAGACTTGTTACAGGCTTATCACAGGGTCTTATTTTCTTGGCTTATTTTTGATAATATCATACATGAGTATTACATCTATATCATTTCCCAAAACTCTTCCACCTTCAACTCCTCCTGTGTCCCCCTTAACTCCTCAAATTCATGACCTCTTCTTTAATTACTATTGTTACATATATGGCTGTTGTGTGTAAACTAAATACAACTGGGTCCTTTTTTTTTTTTAGCATTGCTTGTATTCATATGTGTTTAGGGATGACCACTTAGGACTAAACTATGTACCAGAGAGCAAGATAGTCCCAAGTGTTTGAGAGTGGCACTTCTAACTCTGGTTTTGACTAACAGCCCTCTAATTAGACTTAAGTTCTGTTCAATAGGGTAGAATTCATGCCTAGTACAATAAACCTAGCCAGCTACCCATGTCTAGTGAAGTAAGTCATGGACCCTAGATGAGAACATGCTATGACCACTCGAACTAGCATAATCACTAATCACATTCTATAGCCCTATCCTTATGTCCTTATACACAGGTAAGTGTAGCTCCCACCCCTCAGCAAGATCTTATTTTAATATATATCTGAGAAAGGAACTATCTTCTACTGTATATGATTTTCATTAATTTTGAAAAGTGAAACCAAATGAAAAGAGTTTGACAAGGAATGAAATTTTATGGATTAAAACTGTTTGTTAAAAACCAACACATTGCTTAAAAACCAACCAACAAACATTTAAACAAAAACAAAACAAACCCCCAACACATCAGTTAAAAAAAACTTATTTTACTTATATCTTTTTATGCATGGGTGCTCTGTATGTATGCCTGCATGCCAAGAGGGAACCTGATCTCATTATGTGGTTGCTGGGAATTGAACTCAGGACCCCTGGAAGAGCAGCCAGTGCTCTTAACTGCTGAAGCATCTCTCCAGCACCCAACGCATCAGTTTTAAGAGGAGAACCAAGGAGAGAGAAGAGCATCATATGGGGACTGAAACATTGGGTTCTGCTTTGTATAAGTGAAAGCTTCATTGGCTTTGTATGATTCATACAAGCAACTGAAATGGCTCAGTTTTGGCAATTTTGTCTACAGTGCATTCCATTGAAGCAAAGATTCATGTACACATTTTGCATCTGTTAGCCCCTGGTCAAGGCATATAGTAACAGAATGGCTAATTACTGTCATCTCCATCTTTGTAGATTTTGATACTGTTAATAAAAAACATACTTTCTAAACATGATGACTTTGTGGTAATTTAGTTTCTTCACAGTTCTGAGGCTATGAATATATATAATAATTTAAATATAGTAAATGTTTAGTATTAAACATTAAAATTACAATGAACTGACAGCTATTCAAAATAATATGGTGATTGAAAAATTAATAAAATAACTTCTAGGGATTTCAGCCCCATGGAGAGTTAGTTCCCTTTCAGTTTTGTTGAAGTGAAAACCAGTGATCGTGAGAAATTTGGAGAAGTCATGTTGAATCAGAAAATGCACCACACAAAATCATTTATCTCACCTGGTAGACAGAGATTATAAATCATTTATTGAAAATTAAATTGATTTTTTTACTCATATTAATTTTAGTATACAGGTTTCTAGCAAAGAGTACCTACAATGGTAATTACCCTGTCTGGATTGATTGCTGTGGAAAACAGAGCACAGACTTACAGTGTTCCATTTCTCTAGGTAGCCCTTGGATTAAAAATCTGTTTTTATTCAAGGAGCTATTAGTATTAACAGGCTCTGCTGATTATTACATCATTCAGGCATGGATAAACATTCCCTTTGAAGCAAATACTATAAATATTACCCTTTAGGAACTCGTAGAACTTTCTGGATATAAGGTTTTCACTCTGTATTTCTGCCATTTGTTATAGATTAAAAAGATAAACATCATATAATAGACCTTGAGTAGAATTTATCATTTCTCTGCTTGGAAGAAAAATTATTTCAAACAGCTCAAAATTGACTTATTGATCACTCAAATACTTGTTGAGTACTAGGATACTACAGTGCAGTAGTGTTTGATCGAGAAGGTGGACGATAAACAAGAATACTTATCAGAACATGTCTGATGATAAATGTAAAAGAAGAAAACATTGTGTGTGGGGATGTGGGAAGGATATAGGAGGAATTAGGAGAGGAGAAACTGTGATCAGAGTGTATTGTGTAGTAATTATG